AGGCCGAGTGGCCCGACAGATATTGGGGGGATACCAGACTCATTCCAGACCCATTCCGGGTCTGCCGTGGCCCTGGCCCAGGTACGGAGGATGGCAGCCAAGTCTCCTTCACGCACGGGGTGTGAGGGAGGCTGGAGCTTCGCCTGCCGTCGGCCTCGAGCAGTGAAAGCTGACAGAGCACCCGAGGGGACCGGTGGCAGAACAACAGGGTGCACGGATATAATAACTTCTGACATCTTTAGTTACGGTACCTCAGCATCTCGTTAAAAGCATGTGTGCTGTTTTTACTGCTAAATTTCTTCAAAGTCTTCCATGCTATTTGTTGAAATCCCATAGGTGACTGTGTATCATCAAACATATCATCAAGACACCTATGTTCATGCATCAGCATGTATGTTACGTCCCGAACCTTGCCACACTGTAGTTAATAAAAAATTCTGATTTCACATATGGCCTTTGGATCTTTGTCCTCATTCAGTTCTCCCCGCCATCTTATCTGAGTTGTTGCATACAGGAGGGAAGGGAGCTTTGGAAAGAACCATAAAAACCTTGTCTCTTAGTTTCAGTGATAAAATCTCCCCAGGTTTGCAGCTGAAAGATTGCTTAGAGAGTAAAGTGTCCCTGTAGCATATAACTTGTGTCATTCCACGTTTCCTTTAGCTTTAACAGCTGACACACTGACAAGGGAAAACCATTTTGAATTTTAATTTCCCGAAATGCTGACTACCAGGAGGAAGTAAAAAAACAATGTGATGGAGAAGTGACTTTTACATTTTTCCGTAAGCAGTACTCCATAGCAGTAAAGTGATTTGCACAGGGCCATAAAAGAAACAGTTGCTCAACTCTGATGAAGTTTAACTAATATCTTTTTTTGTGACACTGGCTCTGTTTCCCACTGACAAGGTCATTCATTGTGGGCTTTATTCAGGTATGGATGAGTGCCCGAGGCATATTTGAACAGTGAATCCCAGAGGGCAGCGAATGAGTCCCAGCAATGTGTGCCCACAGCCTTTCTGCTTGCTGTGTTTGTCGGAACTCCAATACTCTGAGTTTCACCAGGTGGGTGCTTCACTGCAGAGACAGTGTGGGAAGGTTTTTTTTTATGCGTGATGTGGTGAGCAAATCCTGGACCATCTGCAGACAAATTTTAAGGAGCCCATGAAAGTGAAGCAGAAAAGCAAACTTATTGTCAGTAGATTTATATTCATTTGGCTGACCCGCTGGAGTTGAAAGAGACCTGGGAGTCCTAGTGAAAGACAGGATGACCATGAGCCAGCAATGTGCCCTGGTGGCCAAGAAGGCCAATGGCATCCTGGGGTGCATCAAGAAGAGTGTGGCCAGCAGGTTGGGGGAGGCCATCCTTCCCCTCTACTCTGCCCTGGTGAGGCCGCATCTGGAGTATTGTGTCCAGTTCTGGGCTCCCCAGTTCAAGAAGGACAGGGAACCGCTGAAGAGGGTCCAGCAAAGGGCTACGAAGATGATTAGGGGACTGGAACATCTTTGTTATGAGGAAAGGCTGAAGGACTTGGGTCTTTTTTAGTCTGGAGAAAAGAAGACTGTGGTAGGATCTTATCAATGCTTATAAATACTTACAGGGAGGGTGCCAGGGGGATGGGAACAGTCTTTTTTGCAGCAGTGCCCAGTGATAGGACAAGAGGTAATGGGCACAAACTTGAACATAGGAAGTTCCATGAGAAGGGTGGCAGAGCACTGGCACAGGCTGCCCAGAGAGAGAGGTTGTGGAGTCTCCCACACTGGAGACATTCAAAACCCGCCTGGATGCTGTCCTGTGCAACCTGCTGTAGGTGCCCCTGCTCTGGCAGAGGGGTTGGACTAGATGATCTCCAGAGGTCCCTTCCAGTCCTGACCATTCTGTGATTCTGTGTGATTCTGTGATTCTAAGGTGGCAAGGCGCCTCAGAGAAAAAAAAAATCTAGGGAATAGTACATTTCAGACTTCGAAAAATCACCAAAAGCTATTAAGGCCCCACTGTTTTGTTTCACTCAAATCTGAGTTGATGGTCAAATTGTCCCTTATTCAAAGGAGATTATCAGTTTCCTTATTTTCACATACATTAAATGATCCCCTATACAAAGGTCTGATGACCCAACTTACTCCACCTTACAGGAACTGATTTACAAGATGAGTCATCTAAGTTCCAGAGTCAAAAATGCAAAAGTAAATTGGAACGTGTGAGAGACAATCACTGTTCCTGGTCTCAGATAAGAGTCTGTATGTATATATATAGACATTCAAGGTCGATACCCCAAGGTTTACAAAATTCATAGAGGAAAAAGAAAGCCCTTGAGATAAGGTGCCCGTGGGGCAGGTGTTGCTGCTGCAGATGGGTACTGCGATGGTGATGTTCACCTCTGGTTCTGACCGTCACTGTCTTGGTGGGGTGGGATCCAGCATCTCGTTTCCTGTGCTCTCCCTCCTACTTGGTTTGTACAGAGCTAATGGTAGCTATAAGCTTAATATACACTTTGTGAAGAGATCTCATCTGGGTGTGTGGAGAGCTTTTTAAGTCGAAAGCAGTTATGTGAGCTGTAAATGATACCTCTCGCCACCCCGCCATATGGAGACCCAGGCTGTGTGCTCAGAGAAGGAGACCTGGCTGGGAGGTGAAGGCAGAGCAGTTGACATTTACACGCCCAGACATCCCTGTACCCCTCCTAGTAGTTCCTGCGCGCCGACCATCAGCCTGTGTATTGTGTCTGAGTCAGACAGTGGGGTGAAGGGTTTCTGAACTGGTGGCCAACTACAGTTGAAGCACACCGACTTGGATATGCTTTCCTTCATTTGTATTTACGTGGGTACTCCTTGTTGGGAATCAAAGCGCAGATGATGTATGACCAAAAGAAATGTAGGGAGTTTCGCAGGATCAGTATGCCAAAAGAAGAGTCTTAAAAAAAAAGGAAGAATGCCAAAAGCTGGTATAAATCACTTTAATTAAAATCTTCAAATATAAAAGTCACAAGATTTGGAATAAACAAAACTGTTAGAAAAGTTCTAAAAAGGAGCTACCAGGCAAACAATAACTTTGATGTCTTAGTTGTAACTTATATTACTATAATAACAATAATATATTTTTAACTTTATGTTGACTGTACATAAGACTTTCCACTCCATTTTATGCTCTCTTTGCTTCTTTTATTGAACTTGGACAATGTAAACAAACTTAGCCTTCCATATTCTCATTTCTGATCTATATTACCCCCGATACATAACCCTTCATGAAATGCATCTGCACTGTGGATGCAAACACTCCTTTGACACTGAACTTAAATGTAACCTTTTTATTGTGCAATTTTTCATCACAGCTTCAAAAGTACATCTTTTTTTAAAGTCTTCCCACTAAAAAAAGCCCCCCCCTCGCCCCCCCGCGTTGAAACCTCATGTAGCTGGTAGCATCCTTTTAAAGCTTAAAAACGGAAATACAGTGGTGTGGTGGTGGTGTTTTTCCTTGGTGTGCTCAAAATATTGTAAGGCGTTGACAGTGGCATGGCTTATATGTCTTCAAGAAAAGCAGATGGGAAATAAAACACCTGTGGGTGACCACAGGTATGCTCCGAGGCATTTGGCTGCCCTGGAGACCAGCGGTGCACCTGCCAGAGGAAAGCGGCCGGCAGCACACCAAACCGCAGCAGGGTGTGCACGGGGAAGGCACGGCCGGGGAGAAAACCACCACCAACGGATTTCTGGCCAAACCAGCTGTTTCCCCAGCAGGAGGGATGTCAGCCTGGCCGGGCAAGTTTGTCCCCAGGATGCGCTAAGGCCACTGAAGTCCCTTTGATGGTTGAGGGGTGGGTGGTTTGCTCAGTCTCCTTACTCTCCGGTTTGCTCAAGGACAGAAGAGACCTGAGTGAGTTAGGGAGCGTGAAGCAGAGCTTCACCTGCAGGTAGGTTCAGGGAAGTCCTTTCCACCTGAACCGCCTGTGGAGTGGTGAAGGTGGAGGAGTCATGAGCCCTCGACATGCAGCACATTGACCATAGAGGGTTTGCCAGGGAGCTGGTGGGCTCCTCTCCTTTACTGCTGAGGATGAAGTGTGTGAGGGCAGAGGTAGACCACCCTGCAGGAACAGCCTGCGTTTCGTTTTGTGTGTCAAAAACTTGCCTTTGGAAAGCACATGGCCACAGCTCCATCTTGTGACTGAACTAGCTTGGGAAAAACGTGCCTCAAATCCCATGGAGGACCTGGTTTCTGGGCAACGCATTTCCCCCCTGTGGGCAGCCCAACTGCGGTTTGCTTTGCGTGTCTCTGCTTTTCACCTCGAGATGCCGTCAGCAACCACAACCCCTCCTCGGGCTTCCCCACATGTTGCAGGCAAAATCACAGCTGTACAGCTACAGTAGCTCATCCTTTCCAAAGGAAAGCTTTTGAAGGAACTGCTTTAAGAGCTGTGCTTGCAGAAACAAGAGGGAGAGGGGAGGTTGCGCTTCCCAGCTGGCAGAGCCCCAAGCGCAGCATGAGAAGCTGATGCAGCTCCACGCATGGCATGGAGAAGGGCCCCATGCTCGAGCGCAGTGACCCAGGCTGGATCGAGAGCAGAACCAGCCCCTGCGTGGGCTTACTCTACCTGGATAATCTCCCAGGAGCTTAATGAGCATCTTTCACATACAAATTACCCAGTGGGACCTCGTGTCTTCCCCAGCCCACAGATCGTACCAGTGCTGCCACATTTGCATCCCTTGCCAGAATTAAATCTCATGGTAGCAATGTGAATTTCTAGGATTAAACTTCCCTACTAACCAAGTGCTTTACATTTATCCTGCACACGTGTATTGACCATTTAAATGCAAGCAATAGCTTTGGCGTTTTTGATAACATAAAAGCCGTAAGAGAAGGCTGGAAGGCCGAATATGCTGCCGGGACCAAGGGGTTTTTCGATAAGCTCTGGCAGCGTTTTGTCGTCCACCATCTGTAGCACACGGCCGTTCAGCTCAATAGACCTGGAGAGGGACAGAGAGACTGTTTGGGCAGCTGCGCTCTGTTTGCCATTGAGCGCAAACAGCTCTGGACCTGAGTGTAAACATAAACTCAGCCCAAAGCCAAACCAAACTTCCCTTGAGGGTTTATGTGTGCCCACACACTGAGCATCTGCTGCACTCCAGCTGCAAGGACTCCTTTGGAGTCATAGCATAAGCAAGTTGAAAAGCACACGTTTCCTACTCTTCTCCTGAGGTTAACAGCAGAACAGGCTTTGAAAAGTACAAATTTTAGTTGCTTTTTTTCTCCTGCAAATACTAAGCTATCTTCTGTGACCACAGAGCAGATCCTTCCCTTGCTGCTGCATTAGCAGTAACAACAAAAGAACCCATACAAAGCCTCAACACGTTGCTGTAAATCAGGAGCCAGCGGCTGGGAACGCAATATACCTGTGCTTGAGAAAAAGGAAAAGGAAAAGGAATAGGAAAAGGAGAAAAAGAAAAAGAAAAAGAGAAAGAAAAAGAGAAAGAAAAAGAGAAAGAAAAAGAGAAAGAAAAAGAGAAAGAAAAAGAGAAAGAAAAAGAGAAAGAAAAAGAGAAAGAAAAAGAGAAAGAAAAAGAGAAAGAAAAAGAGAAAGAAAAAGAGAAAGAAAAAGAGAAAGAAAAAGAGAAAGAAAAAGAGAAAGAAAAAGAGAAAGAAAAAGAGAAAGAAAAAGAGAAAGAAAAAGAGAAAGAAAAAGAGAAAGAAAAAGAGAAAGAAAAAGAGAAAGAAAAAGAGAAAGAAAAAGAGAAAGAAAAAGAGAAAGAAAAAGAGAAAGAAAAAGAGAAAGAAAAAGAGAAAGAAAAAGAGAAAGAAAAAGAGAAAAAGAAAAGTAAAAGTAAAAGTAAAAGCAGCTGGTCCAGAACCCTGAAGGCTGATAGGAAAACGCTTCCTGATTAACATCAAAAAAGTGTCCTCATACTTAAGCAAACTTTAATTTATTTATTTATTTTAGGAGACCTGATTTACCAGAAGTCAGACCTTAATGGAAAAAAAACCAAATGCCTGAATAGTAATTTCTCCCCCCACAAGTACTTGCAAATTGAATACGGTGAGGCTTTAGAGGCCACCTAACTCTACTCACAATACTTTCTGCAGAGACAGGAGGAATTGCACACTTACCTAGAAAGTATAGTCTCTTTGCCATGAGGCAGTAAGAGGTACTGATCCACGTGCTTGCTCGATAAGTAATTCGGTAGCTGGAAATGTTGGGTAATGTTGTAGAGGTTTAAGGCAAACAGCGTCACATCCCCTTCTGTGTACTTCGGGCTGCAAGGCAAGAGAAGATGATGGTGGGGATTAGGAGAGAAAGAAGTTTCACAGAAATAACATGCTTCCTTGCACTGCCCCAATTTGCTTTTGTTGGCCTGGTGGGGGGGCGGCTGTGGGTTCAGTTCCTGGGATATTTCGCCTTTTCTGCAGGCTTACTGGAGGGTGTTGGTGCAGTGGAGGTAGACGCGGAGCTTCCTCTCGTCGGCTCCCTCCAGGCCGACCTGCAGCACCTTGGTTCCCACTAGCTTCTTGTAGAGCAGCGAGAGCCAGTAGTCCTGGAAGGCACAAACACACACATAAGCACTTATGTACATGCCAGGTACTCCACACGGTGCTTAATGTGACGTTCATTTTGCTGGTAATTTCAGGGTTCTTTTCCCCATGCTTTTTTGCTTTACCAAGTTTCTCACCGTATCTGTTAAAATTTCCACAAACTGCATAGCTGAAGATAAGATTCTGCCCTCAGGCTGCAGAGCAGCTGTGTTTACAAGGTACCTTAAAGTCATTTCCCCCTCATATGCAAATCTCGAAGCTCTTTCTGTGCAGTAGAGACTGTTTGCGTTTTGCAAACACCCTTCTGCAGGGTACAGAGCACCTCAGGGCTCAACCCACAGGGGACAAGCTGCCCTTCCTGCAAGAAAGCCTGTGCCCAACCCACGGGCACAACGCCTGGGAAGAAGCCCCCTGACAACTTTTATGCCTTTCACTAACATCGTGCTTTTGAACAGGTCTCAGGATTAATTTCTGAACACCAGTCAAGAGTAAATCCTCGTATGCCCCAGGACGATGCCCAAGAGCAGGGCGATGCCCAGTGTGGACTAATTTTTTCCACGTCTGCTTTTTCCTTGCATCTTGACTGCTACTTTTCCTCTGTGAAGTCTGTGACCAAAGAGAGCATGTGGTCTGCACAGATGTGGTTCAGGACTAGGAAGCCACAGGCAGGTTGCGTTTTGCAGCATCGCTTCTTTGAGCGCAGTCCCAGGGGAGGGTGTGCTCCAGCTGGTGGGTTTCAGAGAGCTTCTCTCAGCTCACCTGTTTTGTCTGTCTGAGGTTTTCCTAGAAGGAAAACTTTTGTGTTTCTCTCTGGACTCACCACAAGCCTGGGGAAGTGACTTTTCCTATCGGTTTGCATGCTAAACCCCTGTGCAAGGAGGTGCAGCCTTCTGACACTGCTGTGCTCCTTCATTTCCATGCTAACTAAAACTGATGGACCTGGGTTTGGATTTCCCTGCCTCTAAATCATTATTAGCTTGATTAGCATCTGTACTGCCTGAAGGTGAGGAACAAGGCACATCTTTTTAGTCCAAATTAAATCTATTTTAAATGAGAGAATAAAAAGCCCAAAGCAACAAGCCTGACAATGCAGACAGGACAGAAAAACCCTATGTGCTGGGTTTCCTCTCAGATGGTCTCTGTAAGCCTGTGAAAATCACAACTTGGAAGCAGAAAAACGAGAGGAAAGCTAATAAGAAAGATGCAATCCTCTCACCCCAAGGTAAGTGCTAGCAGCAGAAAGAAACATGCTGTACATGCAAGAACAATGAATAGTTCAAATAATGATGTTTCATCACAGCAGAATTTTTTTCCCAATAAATCCAACTATACTAAATGCATGTTTTCATTTAATTATCCTTAAATTAAGTTAAATATGCTCATGACCCAAGAAATGCTTGAGTATTGACTTCATGTTGGTTTGTTTTTCACTTGGGATATAATTTATGATAATACCTCATATCACTTCTGTTTAAAAGCTACTCATCACTCAGCTGAGGAGTACTTAAACCAAAGCAGTCTATCCAGAACAGCCTTGTGAACTCCAGAAGTGTCTGCATACAAATCAGAGCATCACGTCCCAGAAATCAATCTCTGCTGTGCTGAAGACTAGCTGCATCTCTGCAGTGTCAGTAAATACCTTGTATCTGTATATGTAATACATGAACCCATAATAAAACATGAGCTAACTTTAGGTGCAAGGATAACTGCGACTATCCTACAAAATCTGTTGCTATTTTGTGTTGTTAAAATAGGTGACTTGTGTTGCCTGTGCAGAAAAACATGCAGCGTCCAGATGGTGTTAGCAGGGTTGCATACATACCGGCAAAGGCTCAAAGTTGGCATCCACCAGGTGATAGGTCCCTGCCCCGAAGAAAACCTGTCTCATCACCACATCAATCCCCTGCCTGGCTGAAAGCCCAAGTTTGTCCAACCACCTGCCAAAAAATGAGGTAAACAACACGCAGATGAAATTGTTGACCTCAGCTGCACACCATTGCCCCTCTTCAACCAGCTCTGGAAGTAGGAAAGCAAGAATTAGGGCATGATGCTGACTTCCTTAAAATCACACAACTGATTTGAATTTAAGTCTTGCATTGATTACCTTAAAAAATAATTTCAGACTACCTCTGGATGTCTGAGTTTGTGGGAACAGTTGCTCCACTCCCTGGTTTGCAGGCGATGGAAACCAGGAGCAGCAGCAGATGCTCCTGAACTGGCCAAGGGCCTGAAGGCTGTGAGAAATCATCACACCAATGACAAGGTTGCCTGCCATTACCAGGCTTTGACTTGCTGACCCACCAGGCCCTGATGAAAAGATCTCATGCCTTATAGGAGGGAGAAAAATACATTTCAATCATGGTTTTGGTTAATTTTCAAAGTGTGAACCACACATTCCCATGCAATTTTATCTCCCTGAATCTACAAACTGATCAAATTGCTAAGAGAAATCTGAATTTTTTTTATTTCAACAAAATTCTATGACTGGAGTTCTTCAAGAAAATTATTTTCATGACTAAATTTCCCTTTGGTTAGTTATTTCACGGTGGTGAAACGATGACATCAGAAAAGGACACCATGCTCTTGAATGACTTTCCATCCTTACAAAAGGATGGAGTTAGCATCACAGATTCTAGGGCAGAAATACAACTTTCTCATGCTTCTCATCCCCCATTTCCCATAGGAATCTGCTATTACCCGGGCCTACATCGAACCTCAGGCACGGGGGAAGCACACAGGGTGCGGTGGGAGTGTTACGATGCTCAGCCCACTCATTGCCTGCGCTCTCTAGGAAGCCTGAGGGAGACATTCCTTCCGCGGGACATGGACGCAACCCCCTTCAGCTGGTAAAATGTGTAATTTCCCCACACCTGTGACACGGTACTCACATAAAACCAGCAACATAAGTGTTGGACAGCCTGGGAGCTCCACCTCCATAGGCAGAACTCGTCTCTCCTAGCCAGACCTTCTTGTTGGGCACGGTCCCATCAACAATCTGGCCGGTGTGCCGTAGGGAAGAAGAGAAAAAGATGAGTTAAGTTTTTTGGTTACTGAAATAACGGGCAATCAAAATGTTGTGCTTTAGCCAAGTGCCTACGTACAACATTTGTATTTAAGGGAAAACGCAACCTGAGGCAGGACCTCATGGAACTTTTGATCAACAGAACCAGAAGTAGATTTACTGCCCCCCTCAATCAGGTCTACGCATGTAGAAGGAGACAAACATTACTAAAAGCCATGTCCTGTAAGTCTTCTCATGCTAAGTAGTGGTTGGTATAGTCTAAGTTATACTGTTCCCAGGATCTCAAAATACAAAGAAATTGGGGGGGGGGGCATATGACCGTAAATTTACAACTCTGAGTAATGACTACATCTATAAATGAGAATGTAGTTTTGTGATGTATCTGGCACCATGCTTGCTGCTCATTTATTAATATTGTTTTTTGGGATTTTTTTAAATTTAGAATGACAGCAGCACCCAAGCTTTGAGGTGCCCTGTTTATCGCTAGTGAGAAATTGTAGTTTATTCCGGATTCTCTGCTAACCCCCTGGAAATTGAACATAGGAATGATTGAACAGGACAAGGCACCTCCAGGACTTCATGTACAGCTGTGGCAAAGGTATCCAGCACTTCAGGGCTCAAGAAATCCTCCCTCGTTGCACTTCTTCCATTCACATAGTAACTGGAAATCGGGAAAAGAAACCCCACAGCCAAAATTAAGCAATAACACAACCACTGGTACAAAACACTACCGAAAATACTCAGTTGCTTGATACATTTATTCGCAGCACTGTTTTTCTGTCCAGTTCTTTTTCTTTTTTTTTTGTTTTCCAAATGTGTAGGTATGTTATTTGTATTTAAGGGACTATCAGGTCTAATTACCTCGATGGAGGCAGGATATCACAGAAATTTCGATCAACAGAAGTAGTAGGGGTTTTTTGCACCTACTCATTTAGAAGGAGGAAAACATCACTGAATAAGAGCCAGCTTCTGTAAATCTTCTCTTGCTGAGGAGTCTGACACTCCCATGTGATTACTTACTTTACTGTATCAAGTTATATATTAAAAATATTAGACCTCAGCTTCTGTCCCTCTGTATTTTGGAGTATTTTGGCCATCTGGAGGGGAACGGGATGGAGGCATCCCTACGGGATGAAGGTTGTTCTCCACCATGAGCAGAAGAGCTTTTAAGCCTGGTTTGTCTGAATAAAGAACGGGAAATTTGGATCCCTGTGGTATTTTGTATTTCATCTGTCACTCAATCCTACGAGATGTAGCTGCAGTCTTCCAGCCACAAGAGGAAGCTAAAACCTGATAATCCCAAATTAGTAAAGAAAGTAATGCATGCCCATTTAAAGCAAAGGCAGCCACAGGGCAAGAACAGCCCAGGAAGGGGAGAAGACATGTTTTATGCCTTGCCAGCAGCTCAAAATACATAGATAAGTCATATATGTATACATATATACAATCTAAGCGTGTGCATCTTTTCCCACTGTTACCCAACTGCTGCATGACACCGTGCTGCATTTGACTCCGGAAAGAAAACCATCTTCATATGCAAATCACTTTCAAACATGTGGAGCTCATGGCAGGTGTCCCGGGGCCAACTTACCCCACTGCCCACCTGAGCACTTGAAAACTGCATCTCTAAGCCACGGCACAAGAGCGAAGCGCTGGGACTGCTGTGAGACAGTTTGCACTGCGGGTGGGATCTGAGGGCAAGTTACCCACACACAGCCCAAACTGACTCGGAGAGCAAACCTAAGGCAGCAGGAGAAGCTGCTAGCACTTCTCTATGGGTAAGGGTCAGCCAGACCTGCGGGGCTTTTCGTTTATATCAAGCAGGCATAAATAGAGAAAAAAGGCAGCACGTATCGCATCAGCTAACAAAGCTTCTGCTGCATTTTTTTTACAAGGAGTTGGGTGCATTTGCCAGCAGGGACATCAGTGACTCCCTGAATTTGCTTTTAGGGAGCAAAGATTTCACTCAAGCAGGTTCAGCCTTTCTAATGCCAAGGAGAGCACCAATGTCAGGGGTGTGGACTCCGTTTCAACCCCACAGGTTGTTTAATAGCTTATGTTAAAAACCTTCTGCTTTTGCAGAAGATCAGCAGAGGCATCTCTGCCAAGTAAGTCTGAGCTACTTTCTTTTCCTTTTATACGACAACCCCCTTCTTCCCATGGGAAAGTGCATTTTATTTGCAAGCGTTGGCAGCTTGGAGCTTTGAGACAACTGGGACTACTGCTCAGATCTCACTAGCTTTTGGTATGTGTTGAAACACGGCATGTGCAAAAAGGCCCGATCGCTGCAGAAACTCTCCTTGTGCGGGGGGAGAGCCATGACCTAACCCATCATGCTGTTCTGAGAAATAAAGCTGCCGTGCTATCTTTTCTCCCCACATCCCACTTCTGTTTTTCTCACTGCACATGTTTAGCAAGCAAATTGACCGTGTTGCACCGTGTTGCATTCCCTGCTGCTGTGCAGCAAAACCCCCACCAAACTGCTTTTGGGTCGCTGCACCAAGTAGCCTCTTTGGAGACCTTCTGCATTTCTGTAACACACTCCCTCCATTCATCTCTTACTCTGAGTTTGCAGAGAGGCACCCGAGGAACTGCTGAAAGGGCTATTTCACTCCCTCCTCCCTGTTGAGATGTTCAAATTGGCATTTTGTAAAGAGAACAGGCAATAAGCAGAGTGGCAATGGTATCGTGATGGTATCTGAGCAGTACTTACTGGTGCCACGTGACAGCGTCGATCACCTTCCCTCCTGATTTCAGGAAACTGCAACGAGAGGGGATGCGGTGGAGAGCAGGGGGTCAGTGGGTACCGGTGATGGGTCATGGCCCCTCAGGAGCGAGCTGCCATGCACAGCCCTCCCCTCTCCCCCCGGCTGACGGTAGTGATAGTGGACTTCTTTGGGGCCACGCTTGCACTGGCTTTTAAATAGGCTTTGGGGCAACTTGTGTAACACAGGGAGATTTCTAGGGTGAAAAGCCCTTGTTAACACAGCCCTAGAGCCAGCGCTCACTTGAATGGTGTGCAGATCACTGATGGCAGCATCTTAGTTTCAACTAGCTGAGTATTTATTAGCATTTATTTATATTTTATTTTATTTAGTATTTATTATTAGTTTTACTAGCTGAGTAATTTAAGCCTTGAGCTCATTCATGCAAGTAAGATCGCAGTCATCCCCAGTCAAGGAAAAGAATTTTCCATGTTTCTAATCTAAGGAAAAATGCAGGAAATTAGTTCTGAAATAGACTGGGTGTACCCATTTGTACATCCTTACTATTGATTTGGAGCAGAAATCCCTTAAAACCGTGTCCAGATGCCTCCTCGTGCTCCCTGCATCTGGATGCAGACGAGCCACTGCTATCCACACCTGCCCACCCCGGGGGCTGCTGCCGGGGCCCCACACCCCTACCTTCTCAGCAGTCTCTGCGTGTGCTTTCGGGGCTGCCCGATGTCAGGACCATAGAGCTTCGCGTGCCGGTAGAGGGTATAGTCACTCAGAAGTTGGCGTAAGTGAACAAAATCTTGCCCCAGCTGGAAGCCATCGATGTAGATGCCAGATTTCTTCCTGAAGCTGTTTGGCTCTGGGGAAGACACGCGTGCATCAGGACCCCGCTCTAGTTTTGGTGCATAAAATAGGGCAGCTCGTTCCATGTGGGGAGTACCAACCCCCTGTGGTTTCACGTGATCTGGCATGGTACGGGTGAGATATTTGAAAGTGTTGAGCATGGAACCAAAAGCCCAGGTGATGCAGCATGCTGCTCTCCAGCACTCTGTCCCAGCCAGTCCCCATAGGTGACATTCTGCACCTCACAGGCTTTCGTTCACCTCATCTCAGAGCCTTGGTAGGAGCAGCAAAATCATCTCAATTTGCTCATTCGTTGGGCCTTCTGTGACAACCCTCTTCACAAATTAAGACCTTAATGTTTCCCAACAAAACATCTCTTTGCCTTTATGGGCCGTCATCCAAACCATCCAAAATTACCAGCCCATATCCTGTGGTTGTACCTTTCCAGCTGACTGCTGGCCTGCCCCACAAGCAGGCTTCGCACTTACCATTCCCGAGCTCCCAGGAGATGTTGTACCTCCGTGAGGCGCAGTAGTCCAGCAGTGCCCGGGCATTTGAGCTGTCCCACTGCAAGCCATTTTTCCGCAGCAAGGCATTGAGCCCAAAGACCAGGTGAAACCCTGAGCAGTTTGCAAAGCTGTAGAGAATATCCAGCGTATTTCCTGCACGGAGGAGAGAGGGAGGATGTTTATCTCAAGGTTACGGTGTGCCGGTTGAGCTCTGGCCAAGCGATGATCTTTATTGCCTCTATTTATTTAGCCTGGAGCTGCAGATGTGCCAAGCTCTCTGAGCCAGACAAAAGAGCCCAGACCTTACTACACACCATCCTGGCAAGGTGTTGAGATCCTCCCAACTACTGCAGCAGCTGGAGGTGCCAGACAGTAGAAAAAGATTTCTTAGAAACATTTCACCCACTTAGAAAAATATTCATTTTCAGTGGCTTCAGCTTCTAACAGCCTACGACCCTTCTACTGGGCGGCAGAGATTCGCAGCCCCCTGAGCTACAAACCCTAGCAGAAAACTCCATTGAAGTCTTACTTGTAATGGTGGTGTTTTTGTGCTTTTTCCGGTTATGCTCTGCAAGAATCAGCTTCTCCTGGCTGGGCCACTGGGCCAGCAGCAGCTTCTCAATAGCAGCAAACGCAGGCCTTGAGCCACAAGCCTCTGTAGGGTAGAAGAAGGTTGATAGCAATTAAGCCCTCATCTTCATGGCTGGGGTCCAGCGTGCAAATGGCTGCATCCCTCAGGAGGAAGCACAGCTGCTGGGATCCAGGCTGAGAGCCAGTTGTGCACTTCTGTGAAACGCACCCCTGCTTTCACAATGTTAACCACACAGAAAAAGAGGGCTGGCTTGATGCATAATTATATATTTTATATATATAACATATATTTCCCAGTTTAAGGTGATGGAGACTGGGGGGGCGTTGGGAAGACTGAGCTGTGCTTCTGGAGGTTGTTATCGTGATGGTCACATCCCAGTAAACTATTTTAGCTGGAGCACCAACCAGAAACCCTCGTTCCAGCAAGCTGACAAAGCGTGGGCTGCAGTCCCTGAGAGCAGATAAGCCACCCCGGCGTGCGGCGGTATGGCAGGGTTCCTGGCCCGCCTTGCTGCGGGCAGATACAGGGCAGTGCTTCCTGCGCTGCCCGTCTTGTGCAGGGGAAAGCGCTGACGGCGATGCCAGCAGGAGTCATAAGACACTTTTTCTTCGATGCTCGTGGGTTTTGTCAGCGTGCAAACCAGGAACAAGCCATAACCAGAGAGGAAGGCATGATCTGGAGTCATAGTGAGCCGGAGCTCAGCAAAGCGGTACGGGGGAAAAAGTACCGCTCGGCTTCAAACCTCAGCATCTACAGTGATGTACAATTGCACTGTTGTGCTATGTACCACGGGAATAGATGGGAATTTTTTAATCTGAAGCATGTCTAGAAGGGTTTGTGTGCTTTTGCTAGGTTCAAAGAGGAAATGGAATTTAATACAGTGGGAAACTTTGTGCACCAGGACCAAGCTCGAGCAGCTGGCAGTGGTCCGGTGGGTTTGCACTTGCCTTGTTGAAGCGACAGGAGGGCAAGGCTGTGCCCCTAGCCTAGCTCTGGCTTTGGCCAAGATAGAGAAATACTTTGTTCTCCTCAGATTATTTCTTCCATCCGTTACTTAATTTTCATAATGAAACCACAACTTTTGAGCTGACCTTGACTGCCTCCCAGGCAGCGTGGGAGCTCCCAAGGCTGCTGTGGGGAGCACAGGGCAGCAAAGCGAGAGTCCCAGAGAATGCCAGAGTGGACATGAGGGCCCCTGCGCCCTTCCTCACTTTCCCAGGGCTGGCATAGCACCTCCCATGGACTGTGCTGAAGATCCACGGATCTCCTCTCCATGGAGCAATGATGACCCTGTGGAGGACCCCCAGCGTTGCCACCGTGCCCCTGCGGCATCCCCAGCCTGCATCAAAGCCACCTCCTAAACCCAGGGTGGTTTTGAGTCTAACACGCTGATGTCCATTTTACCTTGCTGGGCCTGAAGTTGCCAGAGGATTTTTTCTTCTGAAGTTGAATCCTTGTTGGGATCAAAGATGAGAAAATCTGTCTCAGTGCCACCAAACCTCAGGAAGCCTGGGGACAGTGCCGTCGCCAGGGCACGCAGTTTGGGATTGCTGAGGGAGGGAAGTCAAGAAACAGAAGAAACAGTATATTCACACAGACTATGGCTTCGGTATAGAGGCTAAACATGGCAAGTGCTCAGAGGGTCACACTGCAGTAGGTGACCTGGGGCTACCCGGTAGCCTCAGGGCACTCCTGACCCCTCACTTGACCTGCATCTCAGCCCTCTGCACTGTGCAACAGAGATGCTGCTGGCCAAGAAGGCCAGGAGAGTGTCAGCAGGGCAGCGAGGGGTAGACGTGCCCCAGGGAACATGCTCACAGGCAGGGAGTCAAATCCGGGGGGCAAAGTAAGGCAATACTTCAAAACAGATTGGGTTTTTTGTCCTAAGTATGTTTTCCCCCTAGATTTTTTGGGTTTTTTTTATACAAAACTAACACACCAGTCCCGTGAGAAGGTGGACATAACGCTGACTTTACACCATCAGTCCCAATTGGCATCAATGACAGCCAAAGCGATCACTTTTAAGGCCAAAAGAGATTAAGAGTCCGCACTGGGACAAGCATTAGCTTTAGCAAAACATGTTTATAAAATAACCTAAGTTCTGCCTCGGCGACTTGCACGCACCCCATGCAGGATGTGCAGCGCTGACACCCGGCCTTTGCTGGGGGAAACCACCAGGCATCAGAGGACACTGGGTACATAAGCACTATCTACTTGGTGGTGACACACAGCAGATAAGAGGCCACCAAGTACTTCCTGCTCCTCATGGCAGTGGGGCTGGCCCCAGACTTAACCCCAAGGTATGCGGTTGGGGCTGGAGGTTGGAGACCTGAGCACTTTCCAATAAAGCTAGTGAGATCTTCTTCCCCACCTTGGTGAGGAGGAAAAGATGAAAGTGGTGGGAGGAGGGAAATCAGGACTGGAGAAATACCAAAGGGCTGAAAAATGGGATCAGACAGATGAAAATGAAAGGATTAAGATAGCTCCCAAAAAAGGTCGAATGAAAAGTAATACAGTACAAAAAAAAAAAAAAAAAAACAGCAAAAAAAAAAAAAAACAGCAAAAAAAAAAAAAAACAGCAAAAAAAAAAAAAAACAGCAAAAAAAAAAAAAAACAGCAAAAAAAAAAAAAAACAGCAAAAAAAAAAAAAAACAGCAAAAAAAAAAAAAAACAGCAAAAAAAAAAAAAAACAGCAAAAAAAAAAAAAAACAGCAAAAAAAAAAAAAAACAGCAAAAAAAAAAAAAAAGAGCAGATGCAGGGAAGAAAAGGCAAGAACCAAAAGAGCAGGCAGGGAACACCATCACTCGTCAGCCCTGAGTTGTTCGGTGTACCCAAGAGGGAAAAAAATGCTTCATTATTAGGATCTCTCGATTCAGCTTTGATGGTGACAGACCTTCCTCAGCATTTATTTGACGTTATGTTGGCAGTGCCCCGGCAAATGTCTATAAAGCTGCCTGAGGACTCAGATGATTTTTATCTCACGGAGCGGCTGGGCCAGCAACCCCTAGTCCCGCCACACACTGCCCCTCTGCTCGGCAGTTTCCTTCTCCTTTTTTTTTTCTGCTCGCCAGGCAGCTCCTCTCCCAAGCTGATCCCCGTTCTGCTTCCAGCGACCTGCGCCTTTCCTCTCTCACT